ATAAAACATCATTGAAAAGGATAAAATCATACAAATCTTACGTTTAGCAATATTCTAATTTTGAAAGAACAAATGTAAATGTTTTTTCCAACTTATATGATTGTAGGGTCTGATTATACATTACTCACTTTCTGTCGACGAACCTAGACTTACGTTTTTGTTTACATATGCAAATGTTTTAATTTTCAGAAAAACAAAATTGGACTTATATTTCACTTTTGTATGTTGGAACATTTTTTCTAAAGATAGCTTAATGTCACACTTTTACAGAAGTCTTTCGTTGCCTTTTGGTTCTCCATATATAATTTTGATCAACGCTTTGGGACCCATGTGATGACCACATCAAGATTCCGATTATTATCTCTCCAATTAGTTTTATTTCTTCTTTTTTTAGATACCATGACAATTTAACGACATTAATATATATATATATATACATACCAAACGCCATATATATATAGTTATATTACCAAACGCAACCACTTAAGAATTATTCCATTTTATTTTGGTTTAGCCCTCCTTTCTCCACATGATGGATACATTCTCTTGTAATTCTTATGAACAAAATCACGCCCCTATCGACCATCACGATAATGATATTGATGATCCCGATCATGATCATCGTGATGGTGTTCAGCAAGAGGAGAGTGGATGGACAACTTACCTTGAAGATTTCTCAAATCAATACAGAATTCATCCTGAAGATAACGATCATCAAGACAAGAGTTTGTGTTCGCTTCTAGACGTCTCTCCTTCTCTGGTATCAGACGCTGCCGCTGACGCCTTTTCTGGCCGGAGTTTTCCAGTTAATCTTCCGGTGAAATTAAAGTTTGGGAAGGCAAGAACCAAAAAGATTTGTGAGGATGATTCTTTGGAGGATACAGCTAGCTCTCCCGTTAATAGCCCTAAGGTTAGATACTGCTTAACATAATCCAATTATAACATGATCCATGATTGAAATTTTAATCCTAAATTCTTTACTTTTTTTTAGTGCAAATCAATAAACTCTTTATAACTGTAAGTTAGTTTGTAAAATATGCATGATTGGTTTGAGTTAATTACCTCCAATAATTGCTTTGATTTTTTATAGGTCTTCTCTTTTAGTATCTCCATTTATAGTAGTTATAGCAAATGTATAATTTTGTATAAATGATACTGAACAGGTCAGTCAGATTGAACATATTCAGACGCCTCCTAGAAAACACGATGACTTTGTCTCTTCAAGTTTCGTTATGGTAATATCTCTACTTTCTTTCGCTATCTCTCTACTTTTTTATCACTAAAAAAAATATATGTCGACTTATCCATTTGAATTTTGTTTCATTTATACGGAAAAGATAGAGAAGATTCATTTCGCATAATAGTAGTTTCTTCAGACAGAATTGGTCCTGTATTATTAGATAAGCTTTCTTTGTCTAATTATAAGGAAGGTGTATGATCTTTTCGTATTAATTAATAATACTTACATTATATGTAATTGATATAACGAGTAAAATGTTTTATTGATAGGGAAATATGAGAGGCATGGGGGAACATCAAATCCAAATCCAAGAAGGCGGTGAACAAAATATGACGATGATGAGGAATCTCAGAGAAGGAAACAACACCAATAACAATAATATGGACTTGAGGAGTAGAGGATTATGCGTCGTCCCTATTTCCATGTTGGCTAATTATAATGGTCACTTCTGAATGATGAGCAATTCTAGTAAACCCTTGTAAATTTAGTTGTGTTTATGTAGGTACCATCTTGCATATATTCGCTTGATGTGTATCTGCTTAATTACATATGTTATATTTTGTATATATACGTTTGTATAACTGCATATCGGTGGGGTATTTGTGAAGTACACAACGTATATGTTTGTAAACATATAAGAGCTACTATATCTCAATAAAGCTCTTTGCAAATACACGCGATTATTTATTTCTCTAAAAAGTTCTAAGGGAGATATATACAGGTTAATTGGGTTATATATAAGGACTATGCTTAGACCTTATGGAAGATTATATATGCATGGCAACCACAGCTTAAATTTCGTTTAGTGTAGATATATATGATATTATACGAGAGCGAAATTAATATCTTCACATGCAGAAGGTTCGGTACAGTTCCTTATTTTATATAACTAGAAAGTTCAGGGGCAATAAAATTCATCAATCTCACTAATTTATTAAATGATGCGTATCTTACGTATTCAAATTATATTCATAACTGATTTTACATATCAATTAAAAACTCACCAAAGGTTCGGCTGTCGGCATAGTTATTATATGAGCTCTTAGCCGTCCCAGCTCCAAACTTAATAAGCTATTTGGTATACTTAATATATATTAGCTCTACTGGCGCTAATATATATGATTTTTTTGTTTAATGCTAGTATATATACTACAGGATGATAAATAACCAGATCAAATTACATTATCCAAATATATATATGTACGCATATCTCTCTGTGTACATAAATACTATGTTACTTTTAATATCTATGCATATCTCATAAGTCATATATGCATATATATTCCATCAGAGGGTTAGACAAATGATAGATTTTTTTTTATAAGACTTTCTCCTCATATATGCATATATATTCCATCAAAGGGTGACAAATTATAGATTTTTTTTTATAAGACTTTCCCCTTACAATAATTTTTTTCCAATTATATATAGCTTAACGGCATCTCTAGATTTGCCTAAAAGAATCGACGTCAAATTCAGATTTATTTAAAATATTACATACCGTGAATGCGATAGCCAAATCTTCGTGTTAGGTGATCGATCAAGTCCTCGGCAATGATCATTTCTTATTGTGTAACAAAACTAAAATAAAACGTATGAAACCAAAAAACAACACCATCACAATGTATGAGTAAATGCGTTTTAATCTTGAACCGTATTTGATGGTATTTTCATTTGGTTCTGAAAAATGTTAGATGAGGCGTCTAATCAAATTCATTAAGATTAGACGTAGTATTTATTGCTGCGACGTAATATGAACTGTTGCTTAAATCAAATTTATATTTAATTAATTCCTTTCACTATATATTAAGAAGCTTTTAATTATGGTTTTGCATGTTAAAGAAATGGGCATCGGTTAAGACTTAGTTAACCTTTTTGGTTTTCATCTTAGCTAGACAGCATACAAAGTTCAACGTTCAATGGATTCAATAATTTCCCAGCTGCCCAGGTACATGCTCTAAGGTATGATATGATGTTGCAGAGCTAATATCTCATAAAATTAGTCCTACTATATTATTAAAGGTAAATGATCAATTATTTGAGGCTGTATGATTAATTAGAGATTCTCACACTTCCAACAAAATAAGAATATTTACGAGCTACTATTGGACAAAACAACCTTAAATCTCATCTTTAGTGTCAAATCAAATCTTACAAGAATCTCATCACGGACTCATTGATTTTTCTTCTTTTTGTCTTCAATGATAAAATGATTTATGCTCGCCATTTGGGGATTTTTGACTGGAGATATAGTTTGTTTTAGTCTTTAAAGATCAAAAAAAAAATATTCTACTACTAGCTACAGTGAAACAGTATATATGTATGTTTTCATGTAATATGTAGAATTTTCAATTAAATGTGGTATATTAGAAGGATACTTAATTCTTACATTGACTCTGTCCTCAGTTTCATCCAATAATATTTGTAGAAGTTGCTTCTGAGACGCCATCTTCCTTGTCAATTACAATCGTGTTGCGTATTTTAACACACGTCATTAACCTGCCGGCTTCATGTTTTAAACTACTTTTGTTGTCGACCGGGTTCAGAGGTTGAACAAAAAAAAAATCTATATGATTCTAGATAGCACTACATACTTTGGTTATCTATATGATTAACATAGCTTTTTGGATGAGTTTCAGATAGTGCAAGGACTTCCCAGCGATACTATACATGCATTAGTAATAAGGTCAAGCCTTTATGTTTGGACCAACGATGAGAACCGTCAGTCAAAACTATTCCAGTATAACAATAAGTAATCGTCATTGCTAAAACATCAGTATTAATTGACCGTTAGTAGTTACCGAAGTTTAATTACCTAAGTTTAAGGACTTACCATTATTGGATTGTAATCATCGACAGTCAATGGGCAGAGCCGTGCCGGAAAAATTTCGACCCACAAACAAAAATAATTTTTTGGCTCTTACCTTTAAAAATCAGAAAAATGGGTAAATTTATAGTTTAGTGCGTTGAATCCAGCATTTTGAATACGCATCCCGAGATTCTTACCAGTAGAATCTTTTAAACTTATATATCTATGTATATTTTGTGATATTATCAACCTTTAAATTTATATATCTTGTATGGCCTCCAGATACATGCTTTATGTGCTTGTATTTATACATTGCACATTTGCACAGTCATCCAATAGCAAGGACAGGCCATTTAGCCAATATAATGACCGACCGTTAACTTTAACCAATGATAATCTGAATCTATATTATAATGAGAGAGTTGGGGCTCTCCCGAGACACCACGTCAGCTTTTTCATGGGTCTCACGTTTATTTTTAAAAGGAACTCTTGCTAAATGATTATAAACAATGATTGACAATTTAGCCAAGTGATCTAAAACGCCTCTTTGAGTCACTGTTCCGCAAGGTCGTGGGTTCAAATCACCCAATTTACATGGAATTCGTTAAAAAAAAAGCTTGCGAGCAAGCTTGAGTTTTCTCCCTCGCCTATCCACGTGTCCTTTTTTGTGTTGGGGTTTACCAATTCGTTCAGGCCTAAACCTTTTAATTTTGGCCCAATAAGATACTAGGGTTTAACTCTTTCTATTCCTCCAATCATTTCATGTAATTCTTTATCTCTCTTATCTCTTGATCTCCCCCTCTTTACTTAAAGCATTAAAAACTCCATCCTTTCATAACCGACATCACTGTGGCTCGCTATAAATCAGTTCATGGCAGAGCATGAAGTCCACCATCGCCTATCAACTTGCTGAGTTTCTCAACCGGCGTAGTTCCTATCAAACTTTTGAAAATGACTGCCTCTGATGCTATGCTCTTTCAAGCCACCTTCGACGATCTCTGCCTTGATATGTCTTCTCAGTCAATTGGTCAGTCCAGAAGCTCGTTTCCAGTCTCTTGTAAACACAAACCTAGAACTCACTTGGTAGAGTATCCTATTTTCCTTTTCAAGTATACAATCACGAACCCAATACGATAATATTATCAATTGCTTTGCTAACCAAATTATTTGACGGTCAGGTGTTATTGGCCATATTCGTTTTGTAAAAGCCTCTGACATCAACAATACCGCAGATACGTCGTGTCGTCCGTTTCCTCATTGACATATGTAAGGCCAATAATCACCTTTTCAAAGCTATCATGCTAATTTCCATCTATTTCCTATTTCAAATAACTTTCTTAATCTCCCATTCCAGTTTCATTGTGTACTTGTCTTTGTGGGACGATGCATTCACCAACTTTAGGAGGCATTGAGGAGATATAACCCACTCCGTCATGGTGGTGCCTACAGTGAATCCCAAAATATTTGGAAGTTTGCTCATCTGACTTTCACATTAACACATAATGATGCTAAACATTATCCTCAGAATATTATCGCCCTTTGCATACATAAATATAACCTTATAACACACTCACATTTGTCCTTTTGCAGGTAACATGTATGACTGTATCTGCACAAACACGCCAGTCGCAAGTCTCAAACAAGATGAGCTACAAAATCATATATCTTCACTTCTTACACATGCTTCCATGCTTAACTCACACTTTAGCCTTAGTGTTTTTTTTATTTCACGCTCATATTTTCCCTTACATCCTGTTCTGTATGTTAGAAAAGTTATATTAAATGTCTATTTTTATCTCTCTTAAAAATTGTTATAACTGCAGCTTGAGAGTTGCTGCAGCAAACGTTTTCCCAGGTGTTGAGAACATGGGAGGGATTCATAAGTAAGAACCATGACTCTTGATGAGGTTACCTACGACCCTAACACTCCATTCATCATCGTTTTTAATATGGTTATGGTTTATGTAATTAACAAATGTACCTTAAACCTATACCATGCTAATGGCGGTGGAGGGTCTGAGCTACCAAGTTTTCTAGAAGACCTTAGTGGCAAGCAATGTGTCTTTCAAATTCTGGTTACGCCCTAAAATTTCACCCCAAACCACCCACAACCTTCAACATGTCTACACTGAAGTTGGGTGCTAAAAGACCAAGTCATAGGTTTGGCTGAAGTTGGTTTTAATGAATTGTCATATGGGGTGATCTAAATCAAACTAATGTACAACTCTAGTTCAGGGTGAAAACAGCACCAGCCAATTGCACGGGTGATGCGTCCACAAAAGCAATGGAAGTTGATGAACCAACACCACCAAGCTTTGGTGGCAAAGAGAAGAGCCGTAAACGCCTCCGTGAGTGGGTGTCAAGTTCAACAAACCTTCCCACTTAGCTTTTGTACCTTGTGCAGTATCTATTTCCTTGTGTTATCTCTTCATTATCTTTTTTTTTTCTTGGGATTTTCTGCAAACAACCTCCCACTGGGAGTTGAGTTATGTGGATTTTAATATAGGGAAATTTGACGTGCATTCACCAAGTTTGAACAAAGGCTGCCGGTTAATTCATGTATGAAGACATATTCATATTGTGGCTCGACGTAATTTTTTTTAAAAGCTGCAGCTGACCTAAATAATAACCACATGATATGGGGTTCTTTTAGAAATAACGAAACCTTTTCAACTATCCTATTATTCTAGAAAGTAACAATTATTCAAACTTATTAAACCCCATCAATTGATGGGCCTATAGATATTTAGACCCAGTTAGTAATGGAACTCAGCTTAAATTTAATTACAAGTCGCGGCCACCTTTACAAATAGTGACGACTAAAATATTGTTTCTATTTTTCTTTTTTCACATACAGTATAAACTCTATAAATTAATATACATTAAAAATCTCTATAAAATAATATAATTTTATAGTCAAAAATTGAGTTTTTTGTTAAACTAGTATATCGATAAATTTATAATCTCTATAAATTAATAAAAAAAATTATAGTTTTTAGTTCCAACATTAATAATTTATAGAGGTTTCACTGTATTGTTCTTCTTCCTAAATGTTTTATCCTATCAGTTTTAATGCAAATACTCATAACGCTAAATCTTGCTAAGTCCATTTTCGTTACCGATTGAGTGTTATGAGAATCTGCGCATATGAATATACAACCCACTCTCCCCCCCCCCCTCCCACCTTTAAAAGAGTAATTTGATGTCGTCATATGAAAAAAGAGTAATTTGATCACAAAAAACGCTTTCGAGCAGACGACTACTTAGCTACAGTACTCTATCATCATAGATTCCTATTTGATGAGTAAGGCAAGCAATAGGTGAAACTGGAACAAATTATAACTGATAACAACGATGTTAACTAATTTTTTCCCAAACTTTGTTGAAAAATACTCCCTCCATATTTAAATGTAAGATGTTCTTGTATACAAAAGATTGATGTTTTAGAATATAATTAATGCATTTGTTTTTAAAATTAAATTTAAACTAAAAGATAAAATTATGAGTGGTTGAATTTTATTGATAAAACCAAAAAACAATAACTAAAAGAATTAATTACTTATTTTTTAATATATGTGCAAAACCTTAAACATCATACTGATTTAGCTGTTGTTACTGAAGATATGAAAGTGAGATAGAAACTAAACAGTTATTTTATAAAAGGGGGCATGGACCGTTTTGCATTCTTTCGTCCCAAGCAACCATCAAGTCGATCATTCTCTTTATCGGTTAATCCTCAACACAAATGAAAACAACTTCATCAACATAAAAACAAAAACAAATTAGATAACGCGGCCTCCTAAACCTACAGCCTCAAAACAATCAATTTTAAGCTCCCTTAAAGATTTCCTTACAACTATGCCAAGAAACAAAAATCAAAAAACAAAGACCAATAAGATATTGACTCAAACAACATGCAGCTACGATATACAATTTGACATCCGCTATGTATGAAATAACATCCATAAACTAAATTTTAATAACTCCTCACCATTGTGATCTACTCCCTCCGTTTCATTTTATTATCGATTTAGACTTAGATACACATATTAAGAAAACATTTAATTTTGCATATTTTCAAAAATAAAAAGATAATTACCAGTACACTTAACCATATGTCAACTAATAGAAAAATAGACTATGTAGAAAAATAGATTGAAATAACATAGTCTTCGATAAAAAAAAATAACAACTGCACAGAATCAAAGAACATAAATTAATTGTCCTTAACTTCAAATATTTAACGCCAATAAATAATTGTTCCTTCACAAAAAAAAATGGAAAATAGTCAAAATAAAAAACACAAACACTCACCATATATAAAAAATATTAATAACACCATATGCTCCCAGCATAACACTACCATGAATAACGAACGACCCACTTCTTTCTCACTAACTCTTAACACCAAAATAAATCTTCAAGAGCAAATATAGTAAAACCAGAGACTTCATGTTAGTGTTGGGAATGTCCTAAAATCATTTGTATTTACTCTAGTTAAAGTTGTAACGTCAAGATTCGAAAATCGTATAATGTTAGGTGGTTATAATGTTTTGCTAGAAACCGCTTATAATCTATGAATTGAGAATTCATTACTAATATTATATGATTCTACAGGGTCACAAACTTAAGCAAACTGAATAATAAAGGGATGTTGGAAAATATTATATATATATATATATGATATATATAATATGTATGTATCTCTATAATATTATTTGAGAAGTCACTTTCTTAGGTGTCGCGCTTACGTTAACTTTCACGCTGGTTGATTACTATGATACCCCTAATGAACTAAAAATATATTTAAATATTATTATTTCCTTTTTAAAATCTTCCAAATAACAATATAAAACAAAAAGGAAATATTTATAAAATTTACAAAACTATTTAAAACAAAAAATAAGTATATATAATATGATTGCATAAAAAAGAAAGTTTACAAAATAATAATATTTAACTTAAATATATTTTTAAATAGCATAAATTATACTTTTTAAGTAATTATACTTTATATCTATATCTTCTTAGATGAAATTTTTTTTGTATATAATGTGTTTTCATATAAAAATTTCATACAAATAATCTTGATATTAGAAAAATAAATATTTTTCTTTAAAAAATAATATTATTATTTCCTTTTAAAAATCTTCCAAATAACAATATAAAACAAAAAGGAAATATTTATAAAATTTACAAAACTATTTAAAAACGAAAAAAATAAGTATATATATAATATGGTTTCATAAAAAAGGAAAGTTTACAAAATAGTAATATTTAACTTAAATATATTTTTAAATAGCATAAATTATACTTTTTAAGTAATTATACTTTATATCTATATCTTTTTAGATGAAAAAAAATTGTATATAATGTGTTTCTTATACAAATTTCATACAAATAATCTTGATATTAGAAAAAGAAATATTTTTTATTTAAAAAAAATAATTTCAACAATAAAATATATATTTTCAAAGTAATTAGTTTTTGTATATATCTATCTATTTTATTGATGATTACATAAATAATTAAGTAACATAAACTGATATATGTTTAACGGACAAAAAAAAATTATACATAGTATATTTATAGTTTACCATCCAATCAATCTAAGGCATAAATTATTTAAAATTTATAAAATATTTAATTATTGAAAATATTGATATGTGTTCATAAGCTTCCAAAAATTTATTATTACTTATATATGTAATTTAGAATCAGACACTTTAGTTTTTATTTTTTTGTTCTAAACACAAAAAATCTTAAAATACATAATCTTACTAAAATATACTTATATTTCTAAGATAACAGCCAACATAAATGTATATAAAACAATTAATCAAAAATTTAAGATATTTAGAATAAAAAAGATTATAGTTGAATTCAGAGAAATAGATAGAATCCAATATATATATATATATATATATATATATATATATATATATATATATCCAAATGATAAAACTGACTAAATATAATATATCTAAAATTATATATAACTAAAATAATATAATATTATTAATATAAATTATACATAAAAACTATAAACTAATATAAAAGTTAAAGTAAATATTTCAATTAATTATTATAATATATTTATTTTATAAATATTTATGTCCGTGCATGAGCACGGGAAAATCACTTAGTTTATATATATTTACTAGACATGAATTAACTTAATATGATTAGGATAGTTAATAATGGGCTGACCCATTATTAATACTAATGTAATTAGGTCATGTGAGTAGTTTATATATATATATATGATTTGTTCGGTGTAATAGATATGCACAATTGCGAGCCGCATTATGTTATCTCCGTAAGAGATAAAGAGAAGGTGTTCTCATAATTAATTGAAGAAATTGGTTTCTTCATGGGCGAGTAATTAATAGATCCAACAAAGATGAAGGTGTTCATCGAATTTGAGATACAATCTCAAAACGGCACTAGCATCCTGGATCGATTTAGTTTGTGTGTGTGGATATCTATAGAGGCACGACATTTGGAGTGCTAGTAATCTCGACTTGGTTTAGTCATCTTTTCGCTGCGAATAACCAGGTATATTCGAATCCTAAGATCTAAATTTAATTTAGTAATTGCATGAGATCTAGGCAAATTAAATTCATAGATTGATTTATCACCGGGGTTGTCATTACCACTGAAATTATGTCAGCCATGTAAGGAAGATAAGGACGTTAGTTGTTAGTTGTTGAACTCACCTGGACAGAAAATTAGCTATTGCTGCGTGCTGGTGACAATTGAAAATGCGCTAGATAGGGAAAGACTGACGTTTGAAAGAGAAATTGAATTTCTAAAGTGGAAAGTGAACGTCCTACCTACAATATATTGGAGGTGTCCTTGTGAGAGAGCCTTAATGTGTTGGTCTACGTGCTGTATGTTTTAGATAAGCAAGCTGTTTTTGCTTCCTGTGAGATGTTTGAACATAAGGTTCAGTGACATCAAGTAAAGGTTCTACAGAAGGTAAAACCTCTATAGATGGAGAATGAGAAAAGGTCTCATTAACCGGAGCATTGGAATTCATAGGAACTTGTGGAGACTGATCAGGAAAGAAAGATTGTGATTTGGAATTAAGATCAGCTCCAACAAAAGGAAAGAGCTCTTCATGGAAGATCACATGTCTTGAAATATGAATGGAGTTAGTTCCAAGATCAAGGAGCTTGTATCCTTTAATGCCATTAGGATAACCTAAGAGGACCCAAGCTCGAGCTCTAGGGTCAAATTTATGTATGCTCTTAGGGGAAGTTGAAGCATAACAAAGGCAACCGAAAGTCTTAAGTTGACTATAATCAGGAGGTTTGCCAGCTAAAACTTCAAAAGGGCTTTTTTCTCGTAAGATAGGAGCAGGGAGTCGGTTAACGAGGTGTA